ATATTACCAACACAAATATATTCTTTCCTTTCCAACCTTAGAGCAGCAGCCCTAGATGGGATCTTATCTCTCACCTGTTGGAATAACCAAATTAGTCTCCTGGACCCCAGTCTTTCCTGCTTCCCTTCCTTCTCCAACTCCGCCCGCCTCAAAGACATTTAGAGCATAAATGTGACATAAGGAGACATCTGACCACTGTGCTCCTCTTCTCTAGCTCTTTGCCACAAAGACTGGTAGTTATTCCTCCTCTTTCCTAAAAACAGAACCTAATTTTACTTGGAGAAGCAATGTTCTTCCCATGGTAGAACGTGAAGCTTTATGAACAAATGACCGAGATGTAAATAAAAGTATTGTGGGGAGCTTTCTGGAAGTCAAGGCAAGAAAAAAATAAAAAAAGAGCATCCTCTTTCCCGCTACCTGGACTAAGAGGCAATGCTGTAAGTGGGATGAAAGATCCAGACAACAGAAGCCCTGGTATCAGCAGACCATGCTGATCCTAGACTGCCTCCCTGAAGCCCCTCATATGTTTAACCAATTGCTATTCTGAGATTTTCTAACAAATGCAGTTGATCCTTATTGGATTGTATACTCCCTAATGATTTACAAGGCCCTATCAATTCTTATAATTTACCTCCATTCACCCTCTCCTTGTTTTATAATCTAGTACTATCAAATTGCTTATCGCTGTATTTACATAGACACACATACACAGACCATGTTATCTCATACGTCCATGCCTCTGCTCTCACAATTAATTCCTTATGCATGGAGCACCCAGCACATCTTTATTTGCCTAATTCTCACTAATCCTTCAAGTCTCAACTCAAGCATCATTTCCTCAATAAATCTGCAAATAAAATCCTCCCTCCCTTAATACCTGTATTACCATGGCATCATGAGATTACATATTAATATTATGTATCTATTTATCCAATTTGAAAATAAACTCCCTCAAGGTTCAAAAAAAAAAACCTTTGCATTTTTTTTACATTCCTATGTCTAGAACAGTGTAAAGAACAGGCCCTCAGCAAATGTGTGCTGAAATTAACTGAAACCTGTCAGAAACTTTAAGCAGCAGCCTGCATTCAAGAATTAACTGCCAGCCACTGAATGGAAGACATGTTCGTGATGCAGCTACTAGTCTCACTGTTCATTACCGAACGGTAAGACCTAAACCACGCTGCACAATCCTCCTGCACCCACCTCTTCAGCAAAATTGATGTTTCCCTCTGCCCATGCTATAATTTCAGTTTCCTTGACAATTTCCTCCAGTTTACCTTGAAGAATCATAAACCATCGAGCTTAATATACCTCCAGACCTAACAAAGACCTCAGCACTCTCCTTCTCACATGTAGCCTTCAGAATTAACCACCATTAATCCTATTGAGATGTCAAAACCTAGAAGGTGGGACCAAGACAGGAAAGTGCTACCAGAAGAAAATCAAGGGAAGCTGAGGACTGCCGCTTCTAGCCATGCCATGGTGAATGGCAACAGAAAATAGAAATAAAAATAGAACATATGTGAAACAACTGTTTTTGCACACTGAATGTTAAGTGTGCAACTGTGACACCTGATAAAAGGGAAACAAATGCAGGGAACACTACAGTCAGCTGCCTTTGAATTTTGTGAAGGCTGAGATAAAACATAGATGAGAAAATAAATATACAGAGAAAGAGCACCAGAATCTACACAAAGGACCAGAGAGCCTTTGAGTGACTCTCACGCTGCACGTGCTGAGAGTGAGCGTCCACACTCTCGGGCCAAGGTAACTGCCATGGAGGAACAACTGCTGGAGAGCTGTGAGCAGGAGACTCCCCAGAGCTCCCAACGGGCTGGAAGACATTCTAGTTCCTACTAACCAGAATGGAGAAACCTTGTTGAACATGCAGGACAACCAGCAGAGAAACCCACCAGGGTCAGGCCTTAGTAGTAAGGCTGTACCAGCCCTAGCATAA